CATGTTGTGTAACCAATGGGTCCACCACGTGAGCCATCTTCTTCTTCATGTTGTATAACCAATGGGTCCACTACGTGAGCCATCTTCTTCTTCATGTTGTATAACCAATGAGTCCACTACGTGAGCCATCTTTTTCTTCATGTTGTGTAACCAATGGGTCCACTATGTGAGCCATCTTCTTCTTCATGTTGTGTAACCAATGGGTCCACTATGTGAGCCATCTTCTTCTTCATGTTGTATAACCAATGGGTCCACTACATGAGCAATCTTCTTCTTCATGTTGTATAACCAATGGGTCCACTACGTGAGCCATCTTCTTCATGTTGTATAACCAATGGGTCCACTATGTGAGCCATCTTCTTCTTCATGTTGTATAACCAATGGGTCCACTACATGAGCCATCTTCTTCTTCATGTTGTATAACCAATGGGTCCACTATGTGAGCCATCTTCTTCTTCACACATCTATTTGTCAGACCAAAGTGCAGTAAATCTTCAACGGATAGCTCCACTAACCATCACTGGAACGTTGCTGCTCTTTTGTACGTCATCATCAATTACCATTATTCTCTCAACTACCCGCACCTGAAAGGTTCCGAGATGTTCAACTTGCAGACTTCTGTGGCAGCAATGGATGTTTTGACGGCCATTGATGAGGAAATCTATCCATGAAGCCCAAAGATACTGTAGAAACACTCAAATGTAGGTTCAGTGCTGACAAAGACAATAGTGATATAACCAATAGCCTTCTGCCACATCAGAAGATCAAAACCAGCTTCAAAGAGACAATCAATAAGTAAGTGTGACAATTTCTGGTAAGGTGGTATGGCCACCCTGAAACCTTGTGTCACTTTGACTGCTCATAACTCCCAACTGAAATAAGATACCATCATACAGTAGTCCCTGGTGGAAACGACTCCTCCCAATAACAAATTCCTTTTAAATATGACTTTTTTTTCTGTGCACAGAACAATTTCACATTGATCTGATCTCCAAAATGACTTCCTGATAGATGCAATATGACCGTGATTTTGGGGGTGGGAGGTCAGATGACGACCTCTCAATGGCAACTTTTCTTCATATAAATAATGTCATTTACAGAGATACATCAATACAATGTATACAGTATGGAAAAAAAAAAGAGGTCACATGATCATAGATTGCTTCACAGCTGTGTATATGTATCTTGTTACCCCGGGGTGTTCAAGTCAAACTCTATGGTACATACACGTAAGTATCTTGGTTTAAAAACTTTCAGGTCCTGAAAGGTAACCAGGAGCAGCAGTCAGAAACTGTTGTTTGTCTTCGCCCCACTCATGAAATTAAGGTTTATTCTTTTAGTGAATGTAGTAGACTTTGAGCTAGTGGCCTAGACGTTAAGTAACTTGATTAGGATTTATCAGAGGGGCGTGAAGGTTCTTAACTTGCAGTTTGAGTGACAGACTAATGTGTGTCGTAAGCATGGCTAATGGAATGACATCTGGGAGAGCTGCCAATGTCTCAAGCTGAGAACAGGAAGTCGCTGTGAAGAAGAAAGCTCAAACTCACTGCCTCGAAGTGTTGATATAGAAACATGATGTAGACCAAAGCTGTGATGAAAGCAACCAGTTACAAATTATACATGATCTATAAATGAAACATGGAAATTAGAGAATTTTCAGTCTACTTGAAATTTTTTTAATGCAATATGCTACGTTATCTGACTACCTATACAGTATATAAACCCTGGGAAGAGCAACTAGCATAGCTTGAACTCTGGTTATTGATCCTTCGAATAACAACTTCCTGTCAGATGCAACTGTTTTTATCATGGCAGATAGGTCAGTCGTATGTTAGAGGGACAACTCCATTTTGGATAAAGCAGATTCTGGACTTTCCAACAGTGCGTGCAACACCACCAAAGAACAAACACGAGGATAATTTTTTGTTCCTCATCATGTCACCCAAAATCATTGCCTCTGGTTGGGGGAGAGATCCTGTGTTAATATAATAATAATAAACAATAGCAATAAAGAGTCTCAAGTTTCTTTTTTATCTCAAAATCTTTCTCTGAATCAATTCTTCAGCCCTGTTTAATGGTACATTTCTTGTAACAATGTCACCAGGACTTACTTTGATAGGATAAGCTGGAAGTGGAACCAGAAAACTTGTAGGATAAGGGTAATCTGTCATGGCTAGAAATGTCCACGTCTCTCTCAGCCATAAAATAAAATCTTCTAAACTTTCATGAGTTAGAGATGCACAGAGGTTAAACCTTGTAGTCAGCCATTTCAACCCTTCACCTACAATAAAATTTCAAGAATAATATATTTAGTTCAATTCTAAGTTGTTTTCTGCTTGTAAATACATTTTAAAAGGTTCAGTAAGGCTATAGATTTTAACCATTTCTAAGGCCAGTTCCTCCTGAATACACTGCCATACACTTAATGTCCAGTGCCTTTTGACCGTTCAGGGTCAAAACTGCTGAAACCTCTTAGTTTTAAAATTGTGTCCCTACAGTCATGTTGTTCCCATAGAAGGACAAAAGTTGAAATTTTGACCACAAAAGAAATCCTCTTTGTAGCAAACATTTTAACTATAATAATGAGGAATAAGAGCACTTGCTTGTTTTTCCCACCCTACGAACAGCAGGCCAAGAATCCCTGATGAGTTGAACACATGTCGATGAAACTTGCTGGAAGTCTTTGGTCACAATCTGAGAAAAAATACCACAAGGAGTCAATCCAGTAAACTGAAGAAGGGGTCCACTGGACGACAAAGCTCTGCAAGTGAAAATAATTCTCAGTTTATTAAACAGCCTTGGTTAATAATATGTTTATAATAGAATAGAGGGAGCCCATTACAATTTAATAAGGTTCAAGCTTTTGTTGCATCTATCTTATTCATTTACTAAACAAAGTAACGGCAGGAACAGCTTCATGATATTAACATAAGCCATGTCTTATGGCTTGTTCTAAAAGTCTGTGTGTGTGTGTGAAACTTCATGATATTAACATAAGCCTAGTCTTATGGCTTGTTCTAAAAGTCTGTGTGAAACTTCATGACATTAACATAAGCCATGTCTTATGGCTTGTTCTAAAAGTCTGTGTGTTGTGTACAACATCATGATATTAACATAAGCCATGTCTTATGGCTTGTTCTAAAAGTCTGTGTGTGTGTGAAACTTCATAATATAAATATAAGCCATGTCTTATGGCTTGCACTGAAAGTCTGTATGTGTGTGTGTGTGTGTGTGTGTGTGACACTTCATGACATTAATATAAGCCATGTCTTATGGCTTGCACTAAAAGTCTGTGTGTTGTGTACAACTTCATAATATAATTATAAGCTATATCTTAATAATACATGACCTTTTTTTTTCAAATAGAGATGAAAGTCTAAAGAGTTCATGTGGGAATTATAAACCTGTATGTAGGTCACATGACCCATTTAACAACAACAAAAAAGTATAAATAAGACCCGATTATGTCTTACAACTCACTCCTGAAGATGACGTTGCAACATCTAAACATGTAGAGTCAACTTTTTAGAGGTCTTAATTAAAATGTTTTTAACTGTGTACCTATTTTAACATTGTGTGTTATTTACTATTGTACACAACTGCCAAGAAATAGTACTAAAAGTTTCACAGTTGTTCACTTGTTTCTGTTAATTTTGATGTAAAAACACAGGTTTTAATCATCGCTTTTATATTAGAGCATAGAATCTTCCTGCTACCACCAAGATTCAAATGTAAAACATTTGAATATCATTGTGTTTGTGATATGTAGTAAGAAATGTTACTTACCCAATCACGATATGTGGATATTTCAACCTTAGCCAGGCAGACAACATACCACCATACGATCCTCCAAATGCAACAACAGGTATACCAGCTGCTCCTTTAATTGTTGATTTCAAGTAGGTTATCAAGGTAGCAAAATCTGCCAGAGCTTGCTCGGAGGTCAAGTAGCCCAAATACTGCAGTTTCTGTCATTCAGAAAAAATATTCTCTCATTCATACACCAAGTTCTTCATTTTTATATCCAGCCAACTGAGAAAGAGATTAGCCGTTTTTCATTATCATGATCACAAAAACACTGATTGCCATAAGAAAGAGCAAAGCAGACCTAACTGAATTATACCAGTTTTAAGTTTTTTCGTGGGGTCAGGTATGCTTACATTTTTTTCCATAAAATCCAGAGATTATTCAAAGTTACATCACATACTTCCCAGTTAACCTTTAGGATTTACTCCCCACCATAACAACCTCACCCAAACAACTTTCAGGAATAAAGCTTCAAATGACATTCAGAGTTGATCCAATTTCCTATACTTACATCATATGATCTGTTGCCATAAGGAGTAGAGTTTCCATAGTAGCGATGCTCAGCAAAAACCAGCATTGCTTTGAATTCCTGGGCCCAGTCCCACATTAAACCCTGAAGAAGGAAACATAACACATCAGTTTACAGTCACATTAATTTTGGAACTTACTGACATACTCATGATTTAAATACAAAGAAAATATAACAACAGAAAGAAAGAGGCCTACACTGGTATCATTTTAAAAGAATGTCAGAAGATCTCGATATTTGTAACTGATAGATACATGTAATGAATGGATAGACACTTGTAATGGATAGATTGGTACTTGTAACAGATAGATAGACACTTGTAATGGATTCATAGGTGCTTGTAACAGATAGATAGACACTTGTAATGGATTCATAGGTACTTGTAACAGATATACAATTGTAATGGATATACAGATAGTTGTAATATATTGATAGTTACTTGTAATGGATAAACAGATACTTGTAATGGATGTACAGATACTTGCAATGGATGGATAGGTACTTGTAACAGATAGATAGATAGACAGACACTTGTAATGGACAGATAGATAGATAGACACTTGTAATGGACAGATAGGTACTTGTAACAGGTAGATACTTGTAATGAATGGATAGACACTTGTAATGGACAGATAGGTACTTGTAACAGGTAGATACTTGTAATGAATGGATAGACACTTGTAATGGACAGATAGGTACTTGTAACAGGTAGATAATTGAAATGGATATACAGATAGTTGTATCGTACTGATAGTTACTTGTAATGGATAAACAGATACTTGTATCGTACTGATATTTACTTGTAATGGATAAACAGATACTTGTAATGGATGGATAGGTACTTGTAATGGATATACAGATAGTTTTATCGTACTGATAGTTACTTGTAATTGATAAACAGATGCTTGTAATGGATGTACAGATACTTGTAATGGATGTACAGATACTTGTATCATACTGATAGTTAGTTGTAATGGATGTACAGATACTTGTAATGGATATACAGATACTTGCAATGGATATAGGTACTTGTAATGGATATACAGAATACTTGTAACAGATAGATAGATACTGGTAAATGTAATGATCATACAACATAAAAAAAGAAACAGGTTCATATCATTAATGTTATAAAAGTAAATAGAATTTAATTTCCTGAAATTAAAACTCACATTTAAAAAAAGTATTTCCTCAACCGTTGTTAGATGTCAGTGCTGGAAAAGACATCAAAGAGGAATAGAGATGTTAAGGACAGGTCAGAATGAAATAAACAAAGCTGTTTCTGTGCCATTAAAATATAATTACATCACAAAAGAAAGCTCCAGTTCAAAGAACATTTCAACTAAATGAAAACAGCATACACACTTGGTAAGTAACAAAATGCAGGTTTGCTTTATATCAAAAACTTAAATCAGAGACATTAAATAATTAGTTTCATTAACTAAATGAAAACAGCACACACACTTGGTACGTAACAAAATGCAGGTTTGCTTTATATCAAAAACTTAAATCAGAGACATTAAATAATTAGTTTCATTAACTAAATGAAAACAGCATACACACTTCAAATGTGACAAAATGCAGGTTTGCTTTATATCAAAAACTTAAATCAGAGCCATTAAATAATGTGTTTTAAAAGTAATATATAAAATAATTTTTATTCTAAAATTCTAACACCAGTTGTTATGAATTACATTACACTGCTGTATTACATTTTAAACACACAGAGATTCTGTATAAACCGACGACATATTCCTCATGGTTAAAAGTTTATATCCACATACACTACTACACTGTATTCTACTGCTTTCATAACGTGCCTATACACTAATGTTGTCCACTAGTTTTAATTGACAAAGGGAAAAAAAAGACAAGTCACTATCTACAATAGAAAGAACAATACAAACAAAGAAATGATAAATAAAACTATGGTATAACTTTTATGTTTATATTTTTAAATTACAGCTGTGACAAAATTAACTTTACTCTCCAAATCATGATAAAATAAAACTTTATTTCAGCCAACATTTTACCACTGCAACTTTATCAGGGTTAGTAGTACAAGAATTGTTTGATGAAGCTACAACGGCAAAATGTTGGCTGAAATAAAAAGTGTTTTTTTTTATTATCTATCTGGAGAGTAAAAGCTGTTTTTCTAATCTTATTGCTAGAATGTTTAAATCCCTCCAGTTTGCACTACAAGTTTTGAAAAACATGTACATAATAAACTAGTAATTCAGGTACGTAACTCGTATTCTCAAAAACTTTTTACTACTGATGCTGTAACAAATACATTAAATAATTTTAACTGATACATCTTACAGTGTTATTAACAAACATAAAAATGTCTCCTTCATTTCCTGTGTAAAAAAACATAGGTCCACCAGGTCTCCAGTGTTTGTCAGCAACAATGTAACGCTGCATATACACATCAGAGTTCGCATATCCAAAGTGGTCAACCTATAAAAGTTAAAATTAAGAATCCTTTAATTATCCAGCAAAAGTTTTGTTATACAACTCCAAAATTACTTATTAGGCTGGTAATCAGACAATAACACATAGCATCGTGCATAACAGACTCTAAAAATGCTATTATTGCAATGTATTATTCATATAAATTATGAGAAGTCAGGGGGCATCCTGGCCATCAAGGCCTCACTAATTTTGAATACTTCAACAGATCACCCCTAATCTCCATACATTCAGGAGAGAACAAGCGAAGAGATCTCAATTTATTCTCAGATGACAACCTATTCATCTCGAGAATCATCCCAGAAGCATTCCTCTGAACCCTCTCCAACAACTCGTGTTGTTCCAAAGTAGAGGGGAACCAACACAGCACTCCAAATCAGGCCTTTTTGGACTTCCAGAGACTCCCGTTAGCTTTATTGCTTGCAATACAACACTACATGTTATTACAAAACTGAAAAAAGTATATTAAATTATTCAAAACTTAAATGAAACAGATTGTAAGTTGGATGATGGTACCTACATAGATACTATCTCTAGTGACAAAGATCTGATAATGAGCAGTAGTCCATACCTAAAAAAACAAATCAGTTTCCATCCTGTGGGCAAAATAAGATTACAAATAGTTAATTAACAGATTAAGTTACACGTGACCACCAGCGTCACTCCGCAGTAACTTTTATACTTGTTCTAATAGTTTACAACAAAATATATCAATAGCATCCATATCTGTTGTTTCTATAACAAATAAAGATTAAAAGGTACAACGTTTTGAAAGGAACTTATAATTAACAGATTAAGTTACACGTGACCACCAGCGTCACTCCGCAGTAACTTTTATACTTGTTCTAATAGTTTACAACAAAATATATCAATAGCATCCATATCTGTTGTTTCTATAACAAATAAAGATTAAAGGGTACAACATTTTGAAAGGAACTTATAAACTGGTTGGAAACCATGTTAAGGCTGTAAATAAAAATTAATTTACGTGTAAAATAGTCTTCTACTGACTGTTTGGCTATGGTAAAAAACATCTGTTCTTGATTTGATTACCAGGATTCTGTTGTTCAAACTCTAATTTCCTATGTAAAGCAGAAATATTGACTTACTGTACTATCTAATTCTTTTATATTTTAAAAAATGTATTTATAAACAATACTAGTTGTTAAGAAGCTTCTTCAAGTGTTATTGATAAAATTCATGCTTTAAGTACAGAATGTTCACATTCTATTAGTTCTAGTAGCAGTAATATGTATTTTTCAGTGAATAGTTGATGACGTAATCGACTTTTATGTTATTTTATAATAATTTACTGCTTTTCTAAGTTTCTAACAGTAAGGCTTAAAATATATTTATTTTAAGAAATACTAAATAAACCCATATTTATTAACCCTAAATATAATGCGATACTACTACTGTTCAATGTCCGCTGTAGCGTGTATTACTTCACACATACCTTCTGTTTGAAATACAGAGTTTTGTACTCTAACGATGATGTATTTCGAATACAGTCGATTAAACATAAGTTCGACATTAATATTATCCATATCAATTTCATTTATCTTGTAATTTATGAAACCCGTTTAAGGTTTTTGATTTTCTAAATCTCTCTCTCGTGCTTTCAAAGTTTCGTTTCACAGCTTTACTTAGGGTAAAAAGTTGAAACCAGGTGACTCTGAATAGTGGGCACTATCGTTACCAAATATCAAATTATCATATTGGACTAAAAATTAATGAATTTTCTGAAAAATAATTGTACACTTCCAAAAATGTAGATCATTTTATACTAACTATGTGAAATGTTGCCTTATATACTGCTATCGTCACGTCTCTGCGCTATACTAATTGACACAACCCACTATCATGTTTTCAAATTCGATGACGAAGAACCCACTTGTGAACGTTGTACATTTGCTGTTATCTTAAAGTTTTTCTTCATTACCCATTCAAGCCGTCTCCAACCATCATTACTATCATGTTTTGTTTAACTTTTCGTTCTACTGGATTTATTACTATTCTGCTGTATTGTCGTTATATGCTGAGGGTACCCACACTGTATTACATACTTAATATTACACAGTGTAATTTATCTAGTTACCTGTGATCGTACCTGATACAATTACATTATACTGCTAACTCTAGGTCACCAGTCATCATCATTATTACTAGTACTACAGAGGTGTAAAAGTATGTGTGGGAGGCAAAGGTTAATTAACCGAACAAAGCGAGGGAATATGTGACATTATGGCTGGGGCCTAGGGCTCTGGATTAAATTTTATGCATTTTTTCAGGGAGTAACTTTCCTAGTTTTGATGCATTTTTACTGGGACAAAATGAAAAGCTTGCCACTATACTACCATTTTACTCAACCTCACTAAAGTGTGTGTCAAATTCCATTTCGTATTCGCTGTCCTACTCCACTACTTGTGGCAGTCCTGTATATCTTATCGTATTCGCTGTCCTACTCCACTACTTGTGGCAGTCCTGTATATCTTATCGTATTCGCTGTCCTACTCCACTACTTGTGGCAGTCCTGTATATCTTATCGTATTCGCTGTCCTACTCCACTACTTGTGGCAGTCCTGTATATCTTATCGTATTCGCTGTCCTACTCCACTAC